CTATCTATCTATCTATCTATCTATCTATCTATCTATCTATCTATCTATCTGTCTGTCTATCGGCTGTGAACATACCTAATACCCCTGCTTCTTATTTATGCTATATGTCAGTGTTTGTGACTCTGCCAAATTCTAGGGGAGTGTATACAGTTAGTAGTAGGTAAACTAATGTTTCATGAAGACATAGTTTTATATTTATGTTTGTACATCAGGTTTTACTCGCATTGTGAGGGGCATGAACCAACTCTCCTTTTGATTAAAACAACTCTGCAAGAGGTAAGTGGGGAAGATAAGGAGCAGCATGGTTAGAGGATCCCTTGATGAGTTTCCTGTTTGACTAAAGTAGTGTCTACAATTGTATTGCATCTTCCCTAAATAAAAGCTGAGATTTCTGTTGTCACTTTCTTTTCAAAGAAACTCCCTTTGGCTTTCTCTAACAAATTCGTCCTTTGTAGCATTTCTGTTGGCAAAGGGCTAGCTATTTGCCTTTCAAACTTTCCTCTATCACTTTTAAGAATTGGAGGTCCTGGGGAAATTGGAATAGAAAGCTATTTTTCACATTTTTCTTTCCTAAAGGCAGGATATAAATGTTATAAATGCAGTAATAGCCCCTACTTCATCCACTGCTATAAAAGCATCAATTCCTACATGTTGCAGTTCATGAAACTATCATTGATTAAGTGGAAGTCATCCTGTATATCTTTCCTCCTTAATTCTTAGCCTGTCTTCCAATAGGATGGCAAGTAGATGGATAGTCGCTCCTTTATTTGTGATTGCATGGAATTGCATCATGAAAGAAACTGGCTTCTACATACTTGTAGATCTATGGGAAGAAGATCATACTTGCTAGCTGTAGGCACTTGTCTTTATATGGTGTATAATCAAAAGTAAAGTGATAATTACTTGATAACTATAGGTCGCTTTCAGATATGACATGCTGTTCTCACAATAAGACCATCTGAGAAGTTTGCCACAGACTGTCTATTCACCAAGGAGCTACAACCACTTGTTTGATGCTCCTGTTTTTGCATTTACTACCCAAGATGCATTAGAGGCATACTCAGAAATTTAACACCCTTGGCTTTTAATCTGCCGAAGTTGAGATGTCAACTGAAACATCATCTGTTGAATTTCTGAAGATGTCTGCTTCCTAAAACAGTGTCTGTTTACTGTTACCCATCCTAGGTCTGTGGGGCTTATTTATCAACCGACTGGAGCGAACGGAGGCGAGGAGGAAGCAAGCTAAGTTTCTTTGGGACAGGAGAATGTTTTGTGTTCAGGGTAAGAAACCATTGCTACTTTCTTCTAGAGGTCTTCAGGTCTCACTTGAGCACGTTTGCTGTACCTGTTGAGGGCACCTCAAGGAAGTTGTACTTTTCCTGGGCTCACATGGTAACCAAAGGCTCACATGGAAAGCTTACGACGGTGTTTTTCAAGCTTGGTAACTCTGGCTGGGGAATTCTGGGAGTTGAGGTCCACACATCTTAAGAGTTGCCAAGGTTGAGAAACACTGTTTTAGGAAATGAGGTCACAGTGAAGAATCCCAGATTGGAGAAGACTCTGTTAAATTGCAGTAATCAGAACTGATGAGATCACGAAAAGCTGCCTTTTTTTGACCTTCTAAGGATCTTATTATACAGTAGTTTGCTTTATAATTTGAAACATGAATCCTGAAGATATAGCTGTAAAGCAAAGTATATTCCCACAACAATACAGATGATTCCCAAAGGTAGCATGCTTTATCCTGACTCTTTCTGTGGTATATCTTCATCTGATACTGAATCTTCCATAATATCAGTTTCATCAGTAAGACTTACTGTTACTTTATCTGACTTTTTTCTCTTTGTGTGTTTTTGTCAATGCTCGAGTATGGTTTTGGGTTTTTTGTAAACCTCTCAGGTTTATTCTTTTTCAGCTACTGCCATCACTTTTTTGTATCTTTTTTCCATCTCTGCTTTGCCTGAAGCAATTAGTGTTGAACGATCCTTTCTTTTCCTATTTCTAGTGTCTCTGGTTTTTTGAAAACTAGGCGAGGATGGATTTAAATGTTCTGCAGGTGAAAATTGCAAGTAGCCATGTGGTTCCTTTTTTCTTTTTTTTTAAAAAAGCAACATTAATAGTATCATAATATCCTTTATCTGAACGACTGTACCTAAATCTGCAGGGAAGTAGAAATTTTTATAATCTATAGGCCATACTTCTCCATAGCTGTTTGCACGGAAGTACTTTCTAAATGAAGATGTGTAAAAGTTTTAAATTAAAACTTGTCCCTATTTACTCAATCCAAATTGGAGTTCACACATTGCCGATGAGCTACCAAAAGCAACATGTCAAACCAGAGATATGCTTTTTAAAAAATAAATGCAATGTTAAGATTAACCCAGAAGATGAATCTTTGCCACTAAACTCACAGCCTGGCTGGGATCACCCCGTTGAAATATTGGCACAGTATCCTTTGCTTTGCAAGGCCTGTAATACTGTGCAGTAAAACTTTCTCATAATGTGCTAATACTCTTATTATTTCTGTCCTGCCTACTAGTCTAAGCTTGGCAGTGTCTGTAAATTACCTGAACAACCTTAAAACCTCTATTCATATGGATATCAATGGCTGGATGATAGATCCGAGGCAGACCCGTATAAGCTCCTCTGTCTTTTCTAAAGAAGGAGCAGGATACAAACTGAATAGCTTCCCTTTCTACTGTCTATCACTTTTATGGTTTCAGAATGCATTTGAATGAAGCTTGCATCAGTGGCACCCAAGCACTTTTTTAGAATGTAGGTCAGTTCTTGGAGAAGGACCTAAGTTAGTCATGAAAAAAAATCTTATTAACTCCTCCAGCTGGTGCCTGAAGTGGAACGCTATGAGTGGGTAATAATCAAGCACCCAGAACTCTCCACGACTGGATCTGAACAAGGGAACAATTCTTCGCAGATTTCTGACTCCGCGTCCACAACCAGCCTCCCCTCAGATCCTTCCAGTCGCCTTTCCCCCTTCCTTTCAGCCCGGCACTTCAACCTGCCTTCCAAAGCAGCTTCCATGTTTATGGCTGGTAGCGCTGAATGCATCATCGTAGGTACGTCTCTGCTTTTTGCTTCCTGTCGAAACAGCCCTTTGTATTTCTAGAGAGAGAAATGAGTTTTAAATTCAGTGCTCCCTGTTAGCACTTGCTGTAGCTGCTTTTACACTTGTCTTTGTGAACAGCCAAAATTGGGAATCTGGGTCAGGATGGAAATGAATATGCAAAATGCTTCTGTTTCCGTATTCTAAAAAGATTATACCTGCTGGGCTAATCATTTTAAAAGGCAGCTAGCTAATATTGAAAGTCTAGCAAGCAACACTAAATTACTGGAATTCCTTTAATACCCAGAATTATTTGGAGTGCTCTTACAGATTTTTTGTAGATGTCACAATCCTTTAGCTTGTGGTACATTTTTGAGAAAGTTCTAAGAAAATGTGCAATACCTCCAGACAGATGATTCTCTGCTGACAGTACATTGCCAGCTGGCTTCCACAAGAGCATGTAGAGCCCCACAGTACCCAAAATTACAAAGCCTAAAATTTAATTTGCACTGATCAGAGGGAAGACAAGAAGCTGACAAGAACCTTCATGCAAGTTGTGCATGACATAGAGTAGAGAGAGGAACAGAGGAACATATTCCATTTGTATAGAAGAATGAAGTGCATACTGCAGTGGCCAAATAATGCAGTACATTGTAAGAGGCTATCAAGCAGTTGCTTAACTCTTTTGAGATATAATATTTCATTAATGACCTGTGTCATGCTCAAGAACGTGGTTGAGCATTGTGTTGTAGTCACTGTCTTCAATATACTGCCGTATTCTACATTGCCACCATGATTAGTTGGTACAACCTGATGACTTGAACACAAGCTTTGCTGAAACCCACTGTATGCATACATGAGTTCCTTCCATGTGGCCATATCTTACCCTCCCAATTGTAAGCATTTTCACCAAGCAAGTATATTCACCCTCCCCTCCTCCAGCTAGCATTTTCACCAGCTGCCCAATGGGAGAGCCCAAATTGGCATCCTACCGCCTTCATTTTTGTGGTGAGAAAGAAGTTCTAAAAACCCAACAAGCCTGTATATAGGGACAGGGAGCGAACAGCCCCTCGATGTGTCTCTATAGGGCAGAGGGATGATGGCCAAGTGCAGTGGCAGGAAGGGGATGCCAGGTCCTGGGGGTGGGGGGCGTGAAATCAGAGTTCCTGCTATTGGGGAACCCACAAGCCCATAACTAGAGGAGACACTGCAAAATTGTCTTTGCATCATATTCTCTAGGAAAAGAGGGCTCAACTTCCAAAGCTTAGGGAAAGATGCAAGGAGATGATGCTGTTCTGAAGTAGGCACAACCCCCATATTTAAAAGATGCAGTAAAACCTCAATTTTATAGATCTTCATTCAGTACAACAGACATTTTAGTTCAGATTCTACCTCCAAATAATGGAAAAAGTTAATTGTTTCTGAAGTAGTCCAGAGAACTAGCATATTTTACATCATAGGCATGAGTGATTCATTTGCAGAATTATGTAATTATGAAAATGATGCCAGTTAGATTAATTAGGTAAATTGAAATTTAGCTGACACCCATCCCTCAAATTTTACTGTACTCATGTTGGATTTTGACAGTCATAAGCTTTTAATTCTAAAGCAGTCTGGTTGAAGGAACTGGAGGCAGATATTTTAGATATATGAAGGCATGAGTGTTCCTCCTCTGCCTACAAAAGTAATACAACAATCAAATGTGAGATAGCATCAGGATGTAGACTAGATGTTCCAGAATGACAGAATGACTCTCTTGTTTACAGGTGGTGGTGATGGTCAAGCCTTCTACATTGATGCAGATTTGAATCACGGAAGAACAGGTCCCTGCAATACTTTCAACAATCAGCCATTGTGCTCTGAAAATTTCCAGATAGCTATCATGGAAGTTTGGGGGTTCAGGGACACTATGAGCAGCTGAAAATGTTGCCTCCTTCAAAAATAACTAGCCCATGAAGTATTTTAAGTTTCTGTGCCCATTTCCAGCTGCAGGAACCAAGCTACCATTTGAATCCACAAAATTAAGCTTCTTTGTTCTTTAAAAAGCTAATTTGAAGTGCTAAGGTAAGTCCCAGTTGTTTGGTCACTGTGTTCTTTGTATGCAATTCCATGAGGTCTAAGTGATCCATCTTTAGTCTCTTTCTGCTGTATTGAGTTTGATGCATACCGTGATATTTTTGGTGGTGAGGTCTTACATCACCCCCCAGTTGATCTATAACTCTGTCAGTATTGCCATCAACTGGTGCCTGGAGGCACTCAGATGTTTTTTCAGATCTTGGCAGATGTGGGTTTAACAGCTGGCTTTAACCAGCAAGTCTCATTTCTTATAAAGATGAGTTTTCATCCAAAGAGAGCTATCTGTAATCATAATCAATCAGATTATGTTGCTGATTTCTTTTCACTCTTCTCCCATTCTGGCCCTCTGTGTATTACCTTGTTCTAGAGATTCCCTGATCCTCAAGGAGCTACAATATGTGGGAAAGATTTTATCACGTAGCATGTAGACCTTTAGATCCAATCCATTATTTTCAGGGACTTATTTTCTTAAATCTATATAACCCCCTGCTTTTTTGTGCTGCATGCAGATGTGTGATCCACCTGGCTGCTGTTCTGACAGCTAACTTTTACTGATCATTCCAATATGTGGGAAATATCATTCAGGAGTCTTAATTAATTTTCATTCTGCTGTGGCACTGATCTGTAGAAGTTGAGAGAACCTCCTGCCATCTTCACCTGTTTCTGTTTACATTCCCAATACCGCACATCAGTCATATCATTATTTTAATTAATAGGTTCAGGCTGCTGAAGTCCAATGCAATATATACAGTCCATAGAAATATCACCCCCCCCTTCCAGCCTTAGTCCAGAACTATTATTTGTCCCCTCTTCCAAACTATCCTTATGCATTTGTGCTTAGAGAAGCAGTATTTCCAAAGCAGTATTAGCCATCTGACCTGAAACATTCAGTGCAGAGTAAAGCCATAATTGATTTGTAAATAAACCAACCATTTCTCTGATTTCTCCATTAATTAGGACTGGGTGATTTCTCCAGGCCTGCTGTTTTTACAGTAACATGACAGCTGTTCAGCTATTTTTGATATCTTACATGCAGCTGTTATTTGTTCTTTATCAGTCACACAAGTAGTGCCAGCTGCTTATTGGGTAAGCAAGGAAGGATCAATTGACTATGGCTGCTTCATTTAAAGAATGAAAGATGAAGCTCTTTTTATGTCTTGATACATACCCACCGTCTACACAGTGAAGCGGGCAACTTGCAGGCTTTGGGGCTTGCTTTCTCCGTTGGATATTACCTTAAGCATTTAATTTAATCATGCCCTTTCTAAAAGTAGACATGGCCTGCAGAGGTAAATAGGACAAAGACGGTTTCAGACATATTTAAAAGCAGTAGAAAACTGCATTGTAACTCAAGAGCTATAGCAGAACTTACTTGTCCCTTGACCTTTAGAAGGCTATGGGAATTCACAGCTGGAAGCCACTGCATGAGATCTTCTGTGTGAGCCACTTGCTTCTAATAGTGATATTTCTCTGCAATAGTATCTCTCTTCTTTGAATTAAAAGTGATTATTCTTCTAGCTCCCTCCTCTTTTTTCCCCAAACCTACAGACATATTGGAATAAAATTCAGGAGGAGCTTTCAAGGCACTTGTGAACAACTTCAGAATATCCTGTTCAGGCTGTTTAGGAAGGGGAAAGTCCAGCCCACAAAGGGGAGCACCTGCGACTGTGCCTCGGGAGCTAGTAAATGTCATTAGTTTGTCAGTTAAAGTTACATAAAAACTGAAATGGGTGTTAAAAGAATATCCACACCAAAGCGAAGCAAAGCCGTGACAGTTCTTTGGAAATGTGATTTGCTGCCTCCGTAAGAGTCCTGCTCAGAGACTTGAGGTTATGAAAACAGTTTTGTAAATAGCCCAGACTTGTAATGTTTCCCAATCATTGTTGTACCTTTTTCATCACAATATTGTATAATGAAGTCCAGACCCCATGATAAGCATTCCAGTCATTCTATGTCTTAATGTATTGCAATTTTGATGGTTGGAACAGAGCCTTCTTAACATTTCATCTAAGTGATATCTTGAGAGAGAAGCACTCTGCATTGCACACTGGATAGCAGCCCCCCCCCCCCCAAGCTGAAGACGGCAGATGTAATTCATGGTGTGATGCTAAGCAGAGCTAGAAATATCTTCCAAGCCTTTTTTTTTTTTAAAGGGGAGAGGCAGTTTTCTAACCTGCAATGAGCTTAGTGCTCAAATCCTCTTGGAAACTTACTGAAAACCATGCACTGTTGTTGCTATAGGGCATATTTTCCCTTGGAGAGTTAAATACCTTAACAAAGTGTTTGAATGTAAACAAAATTTTAACATGCAAAGAATGCAATGGGTTGTCGATGCCGTAATTAGGGTGAGAGAATAAAGAATAGCACCTGCGGTTCTTTCACACAGAAGTAAATTCTTCCTGGCTTTGGAAATGAATGCCTTAGTTTTCCTCTGAACTCTTGACTTTTTCCCCTTTGCAGCCACAATCCTAATGTTGTAGGATGCTGCAAGCAGGCAAAGATTTTGTTCTCACCTGCGGCTGGGGCTGAGATGCTTGTTACAGGTGTATCTCTGGAAGCCGAGGAAGATAAACTTCAAGCCAGAAGGCAACAGTTGCCTCTTTATCTTCCTTTTGGTGCCGTGCATCTTAATTTTTGAGCTGGGTGCTCTACCTGGGTGTACTGAATATGTGTGAATGTGCAGATTTCACTTCTGATGGTGTTTTTCTCCCCAGAGACATTTGTAATTTTCTTGCCCTGATAACTTTCCCTATTTCATAACTTACATCTCCCCTTCGTCCAGTTGTGATGGGCTATGTCTGTATAAGCATGTGAATCCGTGATGGTGCAGAAGTCCCACTGATTTTATTGTAAAAATAAACTGAATACAACTTCATTTTTCAAAGCAGCTTCATAATTATTGGGGCCAGCTGTTGAGGTCTGTTGCTTCTAGGACAGGGACACAAGGTTGTTCGGGTGTCAGGATCCTGAGATTTGGGGAGGGATCTCCTGTAACATCACGGCATGATTCCTAAGCATCTTTCATTGTTGCTGTTCAGATAAACCCTAAGAGAGGTCATTGTAAAGTTTCTTTCAAATCACACTGGACTCCATGAAAGGTCCAGATTGTTTCCTTGGAAATGTAGCTGGAAGGTGTTTCCTGCTTTGCTAAAATACTACAGCAGAGTTAACATTTTCCCAAACCGAAGCATTCTGCAAACTGATGCCCTTCAGATATTAGGGCTTTGATTCCTAGAATCTCTAGCAAGCAATGACATTCGGTATGTTAGAATTACAGGAGGGTTAAATGGATGTTCTTCAAGGGTATGTTCAGACGCTTCTTTAAAAAGGTGTGGTAATCAGATAGTACTGCTCACTTAGTCCTCTAGAGGTCGGGGGTCACTTCACACACAGTCTCTAACTGAGGAGTAAAGTAAGAGAAAACTAATCATTTGCCAAATGCATCGCGGGACCGGTGATAAAATAGTTAATAGCAGCATTGGAGAAGCATTTTGTGTTGGCCCAAGCAAGAAAAGGGAAGTTTCCTCTGAAGTTTTTGCAAAAAGACCCCCTTTTTTTTTCACAGAACCTGATTAAGAAATACAGGAATTAGACTTCCCTCTCTGCTTGTCAATCCATACTGTGTGTTTATGCCACTCTGCCACTTAAAAATCACTCTAAGTGGCCCAATTAAAGTAAACCTGGCTGGGCATTGCCCATCCGCTCTTTAAACACTGAACCTGCATTTTCAGAGAGGAGAGACCAACGCAAATGTGTCAAATGTGGGTTTTTTCAATTTTCCACTTGCTATGCAAGTGTTCTTTGTTCAAGCCCACTGGCAGCCATTACAGTTTGTAAGTGGGAGGGGTTATTTGGTCATGTTTTCGAAAGCACGGTTATATAAGAACGACATATGTACTTTGGCAAAAAGGAAACATGAGAGAAACAGTAAAAGAATAGGAACTTTGGCTAAGATAAGAGTACACAATTGCTTTTTTGAGCACATTTTTATCATACTGGGTTAACAGCCCCTGCAAATACAGGATATACTGCAATTATTTCTAGGAAAAAATCTCAGCTTTGTCAACAAATTCTCTTTCACAGCAGCCATCAAAGAATTAAATTAGCATAGAGAATGTAGCCCTTGATGGACTAATATTCAGCCACTATATCAGAACTTAATGAAGACAGGGTTTTTTGTCCTTGAGAGATTAAAAACCCCAGAGGCATAGTTGGCACTTACCCTGGCATCTTTCTGGAGCTTTCTAAAACAGCTCTTCCAGAAGGCCGCTGAGTTGTCATTTGCTACCATGTAGATTCAGGTGGACACCATGGTTATAATTAGTTATCATTACTATTATTCGATCATGCTATTAGTGATAATGCTAGTTCTTGTTTTGATGGGATGTTTGGACTGGATTTTATTGGGTTTGGGGTTTTATTTATACTGTAGCCATCATAGAAGAGTGCTGTGGCAAAGATGCTCAAGAACTATTTTCCATGGCCACAGAAACTAGGACCAGAAATAATGGGGATAAGTTGCAGCTCCCCAGACTTCTCTAAATACAAGGAAGAACTTCCTGAAGGTAAGAGCTATACCCCAGTGGAACAGTCAAACTATAGAAGTGGTAGGTTCTGCATCTCTGGAGGTTTTTAGGGAGAGGTAGAGTAACCTCTTGAGGATGCTTGAGGTGGTTCTCCTGCACCTTGCAGAGGGTTGGCCTGGATGATCCTTATGGTCCTAATTCCTTCATTCTGTATTTCAGAATATGTATAATAAATGTTGCTACACTACTCAGATCTCTAAGCATTCTTCAAAAATATATCTCTGCAAATGTTTCCAACACATGGTTTCCACATAAAGCCTTTCAACTTGCAATGTGTTTATGAAAGTGACTTTCCTATCTAGAGAACATTGCTCTCAGGTCTGACCCCAGAATAAAGAGGTTCTTACCTGTCTTGCTTTGCTTCCATGTTTAAGAAAAAAGCAGTGGTTTAAGCATATGCAGAAGCTTGATTATTCTGTGACTCATGGAATAACCTTTGTAACTGACTTTGATACTCATGGAGATCCTTAATCATCACCGTTGTACTTATTTTTAAGCACACTCATACTAATGAAGGAGAAATATGAAAAGTTGAGGGCACATCTTTCCAAAGGCTTGGAAAGGCAGGAAATCAGAAGAGGTCTAGTTAAGGCAAGTTGCTCCTGGTTACAATGATTCCTGAGCCTTAATTGGAACTCTGCTCACTTTACTTAGAAAAACACTCCATATGTTGTCACTTAAAAAAAAGGGAAATATTAATAGATATGGAAGCTCTACTGTTGAAGACCATAATGGCAAAAAGCACGATGATTAGCAATCTTAAGGTGGGAGACAAATTGCCTTCTGGCTGCACCAACCCCAATCCCAGAGGGACAAACTTTCTGGAATGGTAAGTTTTTTTGTGTCTCAGGTGAGCAAGGTCACTACTGCATCTGTCCGTTGATGATGTAAGGCCTTCAGTGGTGGTTTCACATCACAAATTCCAGCCTGCCCTAGGAAAAGTTTGCAAGTTGTCAATGGCTAGAGATGCTGCCATTCTTGAGAGGGGCCTGGGCAATGCCCTCTGGAAGACCTGCCTATTCCAGGTGCTGTAGATACCATTTTTCCTTTCTGTCACTCAAATGTAAGATGGAGCTGTCCTCCTGGAAGGATTCTCCAGCATGGGGATGAGGACCTTGCCTGAATTTTCTAAGCAATGCGCAGAGTTGAAATACCAGGACCTGGACCTGCCCCCCAGTGCCTAACCCTAGAGGCCCTGCTTGCATTTCCTCTAGTGGAAAAGCTGTATCTTGCTGTCCTATGTCCTGCCACCACCTCACATCTTTTTTTTTTTTTCTGGTCAATAGTTAATCCTTAGAGTATTGTCAACATTGGAACAGGCCACTTAGGCTACAACAGCACAATGCTTTGGATTTGAAGGCAAAAAAAATTGTTTCAGGGCACCCTTTCAAATCCTAAGAGCTGCACAGCTTTCGTATAGTCCCACCACCTTTTTAGTGCAGGATTCAGCTTATACCATATTCCTAATCATTGTCAAAGCATGCACGGCCCTACTGTACAGAACAGCATTGTAATGGTTAGGCTGATGTAGTGGTATGTGAGAAAGACCTTGAAAGACAGGCTAAAGAGATGCTGCCTAAGGAACGGTCAGATAAGAGAGGCATAGCCCGCAGTTGCATAATGGGCTGAGAAAGAGGCTCAGAAGGGACGTCCCTAGCTTCCCAGGTTGTAAAGGAGACAGCAGGAGATTTGTACTCTCAGACTTGCTCTTTAACGTAGATTCTGTTAACGTAGCCTTACAATAAAGTAGAATTAGCTCATCTGGTCGTGTTTCCTGCCTGGTCTACCTGACAGCTGAAGATTAACCTCATACCAATGAACTTCAGCCTTATCAGGTAGAGAGGATAAAAGAATGCTCTACATATACTACTACACCATGATGCATCTGAGAACCCATAATTCCTTCCATCTTGGTGCTGAGTTTTATTTTTCCATTCTTACATAGGTTGAGAAACATTCTTCCCTCCCGCCTTGAAGAGCTGCTTAGAAAATGGAGAACACTCTACTTCCTCTTTTCAGATCAGCTTGGTGCAAGAAAGAGCCTGGAGCAAAAATCTTTATCCTTCAATGGATACTAGATAAGCAATCCTGCAAGGAATAATGCTTGAAGCTCAACTTGGCTTTACACTAAGCCAGCTTTCCATTTTCTTTCATTGAAACTTTTTTTTTTTATTAAATCAGGGCAGGGAGCTTGGCAGGAAACACAGAGACATTGGGACAGAGAAAGCATCGCTGCCTATCCAAGAAAAAGAATGCAAATTCAGCCCTGGATCCCTTTGTATCTTGCTCCCTAGACTTAAGCATCTCAGGATAAGTCTGAAAAAGGATCCCATCTCTGTCTGAAAAGAGATCCCAGCTCCATCTTTCCTGCTGTAGTGGTTATCCAGTGAGACAACAGAAGGGGGAGCTGTCTCCTAGACTTGCCAGTACTACTGTATTCCTATACTGACTGTAGGGTTAAAAGTGTGCAAGCTCCCTTTGAGCTTTCACTGATCACCAAGGAGGGCACTAAACCTTTTATTTGGCATGCTTGGGGCTCAGCACAGAGACATCTGAAAGGAGAAGAAACCATCGTTAGATTCAGGATCAAATAGGAGACTGAGGTTCCTGCCACCATATGCAGCGTTTCCAAAATCAAAACCACTGCTTCAAAATAAATACAGTGGTACCTCGGGATACAAACTTAATCCGTTCCGTGACTCTGGACGTATCCCGAGTTGGTCATAACCCGAAATGTTCGTTAGTAGAGGCGTTCGTATCCCGAGGTACCACTGTATCATCGTCATCATCAATGCTCAGTTCATATTAGTAGAATTTGTTTTTTGTTCATTTTTAATCATCTGGATGGTTAATTACTAATAAAGTGCAGCAAGGATTCTTTTAAAGTCTTGATCAGTTTGAGTCTCCTGCCTTTCAAGGCCCCAAGTAGAGCCTTTCCTGATGAACAAGAAAGAAGGAGGAACAAGGAAATGCAACAAAATGTTGCAAGTGGAGTGCTTCTCTTTGGTGTGCCAGCTGGCCATTCATCCAGGATATGACACCCCGAGGCACTCATCATGGGAGGAGAGCCATGGTGGTCTATGGTGGCAAAATATCAGAAGTGTGGTTTTTCCAAGCAACAAATGTTATTAATAGGCATCAGCTTTCATGAAAAGGTGCTACCAGACTCTTCCTGAGCTGAGGACTCAGATCTTGGTCTTCATTTAGCTTTGGGAGTCTCTCAAGGTCTATCAAAAACAGGTAAAGGAATAGAGGCTCTCACTTCTTACTTTGGGACTC